ATGAATAAAAAAAATGTGGCCTATATAAACAATGGAATATTACTCAGCAATAAAAGAGAATAAAATCATGCATTTGCAGGTAAATAAATGGAGTTAGAGAAGCTAATGTTAAGTGAAGTTAGCCAATCCCAAAAACTCAATGTCAAATCTTTTCTCTAATATAAAGAGGCTGATTCATAGTGGGATAGGGAGGTAGAGCATGGGAGGAATAGAGGACCTCTAGATAGGACAGAGGGGTGGGAGGGGAAGAGATGGGGCATGGGGTTAGAAATGATGGCGGAATGTGATGGACATTATTATCCAAAGTACATGTATGAAGAGATGAATTGGTGTGAATGTGCTTTGTATACAACCATAGATATGTAAAATTGTGCTCTATATGTGTAGTAAGAATTGTAATGCATTCCACTGTCATATATAAATAAAAAATAATTTTAAAAAAGATTAATGCAGCTGCATCCTGTAGTATGCTGATTTTAAGTCCTTTGGGTATATACGGAGGAGTATGATAACTGGGTAAAATGGTGGTTTCCAAGTTTTCTGAGGAATCTCCATACTGCTTTCCAGATTGGCTACACCAGTTTGCAGTCCCAGCAGTAGTGTATGAGTGTGCCTTTTCCCCCACAATTTCACCAACAGATATTATTGTTTGTATTCTTGATAACTGACATTCTGACTGGCAGTTGTCTCTTCTTTGCTCTTCATTTTTATTTCCAAGGCACTAAGCACTAAAAAGAGCATACAGCTCTTTGAATTACCACTTCCAACTTATAGTTTAGCAGCAGAAGATAAAATTCACCTTACCTGTTCTTTTATACAAATGGATCAACTTCTTTCATTCCCTACTGCAGTCTTTGAAATCTTCACCATTCTCCTCAAGCCTCTCTCCCATCCACACACCCCCTGAATTTCATAGTCAAATAATCCTGGGTTTGAATGATAGCCTAGCATTAACTAATATTATAACTTTGGACATATTTAATGATTTGTAATCTTAACTGCTCTTAAATCCTTTTTATGTCTAATTCAAATTAAAATCTATCTCCAATTAAAATCTATCAGTGCTTGCCATGATACCAGGGTTAAATCCGTATTCCTCAAAAGGGCATAGGACCTTCATCTGAAGGCCCCAGTTTTCTTCTCAAGTTTCATCTTCTTCCCGTCCTCACTCTGACCATAACAAGGTATTTGCAGCTTCTAGAAAGAAAATTAGGTTCCCTGTCTGTGTGATTCTTCTCTTTCCCAGTAAGTTCTCTCTTGACCACCATCATTCCTTTCTTAGCTTGGTGAATTCCTTACTCTCAAGACTCAGTCATCACATCCCCTGTAAAGCTTTTCTTAAAGTCACTTTGAGGTCACTTTTCTACAAGATGAGCAGGACAAAGAGGAAAAACAGAATATTCTCCCTTTTGTTAATTAAAAAATTTTATTTTTAGAGCACTTTAGGTTCATAGCAGAATTGAGTGAAAAAAATAAAAAGATTTGCCCACTAACAACATCTGGCACAAGAGTGGTACATTTTTGTTAGAATTGACAAATCTGCATTGACATATTGTGATCACCAATACTTTACATTCATGTTTATTCTTGGTGTTGTATATTCTATAGGTTTTGATAAATGTATAATGACATGTAATCCATCATTATGATATCATACAGAATAGTTTCTCTGTCCTAAAGGTCCTATGTGCTCTGCCTACTTGTCCTTCCTTTTCTCAACCCCTGTCAATCATTGATCTTTTTTTTTTTCCAGAATAACATATAGCTGGAATCATGCAATATGTCACCTTTTAGGATTAACTTGACTTAATAATGTGCATTTAAGTTTCCTCCATGTCTTTTCATGGAGTAGTAGCTTATTTCTTCTTAGTACTGAACGATATCATCATTTGGATGTACACAGTTTATCCATTAACCTACTGAAGGACACCTTGGTTACTTCCAAGCTTTGGCAATTTTGAATGAAGCCTCCATGTGCAGACTTTTGTGTAGACTTAAGTTTTTCACATCATTTGGGTAGATACCAATGAATATGGTTATTGGATTTATGCAAAAGTATATTTATTTTATAAAAAAACTACCAGTCTTCCAAAGTGGCTATACCATTTTACATTTCCATGAGCAGTGAATGAGAGTCCCTGTTGCTTCACATCCTTGTGAGGATTTGATAAGTGTTTTAGATTTGGGGCATTATGATAGGTGTATGTTCATATAGTTCATGCATTGTTGTTTTTAATGTGTAATTTCATAATGACATTAAGTTGAACATCTTTTCATATCCCTACTTCCCATCTATAGATCTTCTTTGGTGAGGTGTCTACTCATGTCTTTTGTCCATTTTTGAATTTGTATTATTCATTTTCTTATAATTGTGTTTCAATGGTTCTTTATATATTTTGAATAATTATCTTTTATCAGATGTTAGCTTATGTTAAAATTTTTCTCTCAGTCTATGGCTAGTCTTCTCATTTCCTAGACTTTTTTTTAAAACTAATTCTTTCCCTTAGACATTTACATGTAGACCACACCATATAATACTACTTATAGCAAATAATATTATTTTTCTTTTAAATAATTATTGTGTACCAGGCACATATTTTTAAAAAAACAAAAACACTCTTGGTCCACATCCTTCTGCCCACTTATTGGGGGCATTGTGGAGGTGAAGGGTACTGAACCCAGAGGCACTTTACCACTAAACTACATCCCCAGGCTTTTTTTTTTTTTTTTTTTTAAGACAGAGGCTCACCAAGTTCCTTAGGGCCTCATTAAGTTGCTGAGATTGGCCTCAAACTTTCAGTCCTCCTACCTTCCTGAGCCTCTGGAATTACAGGCATGCACCATTACATCCAGCCTTTTGCCCACTTTTTAATGAATAAAGGAAGTCATTGGAAAAGGAATCTCAACCATTTTCACCAGTCCTCATGGGTATTAGGCAAGTTGTTCTACCACTGCTATACACCCCAGCCTTCAAAGGCCTATTTTATTCACTAGTGTTTCAGCAAGGCTTTCATTTCTTCCCCCAATAATAGCACTATATGGTTCATAGTGATATTGTGGGAATGAGCACCAAAGAATGTGTCTATGTTTACAAAGTGTTCATCATTCTTTAAAGCATTGAAACTCAGTAAAAAGTGCTTTCTTAAACTAAGCAGTGTAATAGACCAGAACAGTGTTAATACAAAAAAAAAGAAAAAAAATGGTTAATAAACTTCTGCATTTCAATAAAGTACCTTCCCCCCCCCAAAAAAAAAAACCCAGTCAGTTTCATTTCTGACTACAAAAGGAATAACTGTTTGTGTGCTTTTGTTTTTGTATGTTTTCAGTACTGGGAATTGAACTCAGGGACATTCTAGTACTGAACTACATCCCCAGCCCTTTTTTGTTTTTATTTTGAGACAGGGTCCCCCAAAGTTGACCAAGATGGCCTCAAACTTATAATCCTCCAGTTTCAGCCTCCTGAGCAGCTGAGTTTAAAGACACATGCCATCATGCCCAGCTAGAAACAGCTGTTTGTAAAGAGTCTATGAAAAAATAATTTTTTCATTCACTTCAATTTTATATATTTGACTTTTGTTTCTTAAATTTACATAAATATCTTCCTCTAAAAATAAATTTTAAGAGTTAGATTAAGACTGAAAAATAATATGTATATATACTGTGATTCTTCTCCTTTCTAGGAAGTTCTCTCTGACCACCATAATTCCTTTCTTGGTGAATTCCTAGCTTGGTGAATTCCTTACTCTTAAGATTCAGTCATCACATATATTACTGGAAAATAATATAACTGTTTCCCAATTCAGTTATTTAAAAAATAGGATCATAATGCTTGAAGACAGTTTAGCCATTTGTAGTACAATTGCATTTTGAAGATAAATAAACAGGTATAGAAAAGCAAAATAGCCTGTTAACACAGAAGACTGGTTAGCAGTAGAGCTCAAAGAACCTAGATGTCTGTTATCATCCTAGTCCAGTGTCCATCCACAGTATCACCATGAACCAAATAATGCTATTACTAGTTTGGGGAAACAAAAACCTTTCTGAAACACTAGCAAATAAAATATCTATGTGAAGACCAGAGATGTAGTGCACTGGTAGAGTACTTGCCTAGTATCAATGAGGCCTGGCGTTTGATAACCACCACTATCAAAAAAAAAAAAAAAAAAAAAGATCCACATGAGTAGCTCTTGTAGTTTAGTACTAGGGAACACACAGATTGAGAGAAGCATAAAATGACTTAGGAATAATGACAGTTTACCCTATCAGTAAATATAAATGCAAATAATCAAGTCAAAGAGTGAGAAAAGGAAAAGCACCTTTTATGTTGAAAATAGTTATATATGGGGCTGGGGATGTGGCTCAAGCGGTGGCGCGCTCGCCTGGCATGCGTGCAACCCGGGTTCGATCCTCAGCACCACATACAAACAAAGATGTTGTGTCCGCCGAGAACTAAAAAATAAATATTAAAAAAAATTCTCTCTTTCTCTCTCTCTCTCTCTCTCTCTCTCTCACTCTCTCTTTAAAAAAAAATAGTTATATATTTCAACTTTGGGATTGGGGTAGCTAAAGAGTACCTAGTGCATATTAGGTCCTCAGTAAATATTTACTGGATAGTTGGATAGATGGATGGATGAATGGATACTAAATTTGTTCATTTAGGTCTACCTCCTTTACTGTCACTATAACTACTTCTGTTTACCAATTCATAGGAAGGAGTTTCTGTCCTCACAACCCATAAAAACAGACTGCAGAATTAGACTTTATCTTTTTCATCTCTCCCTACTAAAAAACTAGTTTCTTAGTGTTTTCTTTCCATCAGAGCAACTAAACCCCTAGACTGACTGCCCAAACTGAAAACATGAAGTGGAATTGATAAAAAGAGCAGAATGCCAAGGATATCTTCCATGTCAATTGTATTTTCAGTATGACCTCCATTACCCTGTAGTTTTGAGAAATTATGAGGTAACCAAGTTTGCTTTCTTTTTCTCTTTATTCTATAGTTATCATGTGATGTAAAACTAGATCCTCGCCCAGAATATCATCGTTGTATATTGACTTGGCATCACCAAGAACCACTGCCTTGGGCACAGAGTACAGGTTAGTCATTCAGATCTGCAGGTACCCTTGTATACTCATTCTGTTAAAACACAAATTTATATAAAATCTTCATTGGTTATACCTAATTTTAAAATTATTATGCACTTTTTTTCTTTTTGAAAGGTTAGATGAGCTAAATCATTCCTAAACAGAATGACAGGACAAGAAGAATTAATAAAAATGTAGTTATTTCACTGAGCCATATTTTCTGAATACTTGAAATATAAATCTAGAATTACAGAAGATTTTGTTCTGTTTGTTCAAGCAATATTCTAAGCATAATTTTGGTTGTAGGAAAAGGAGGGCACCCTGAAGTGTGAGATGAAAACCTAACTTATAATATGATCTTTGTAGACTATACTATTTTCTAAATATTATGGTAAATTTTAAGGTAGAAAGATCAATGCTGATAATTCAGAATTTTATAGTTACCTGCCCTAGGCTTTCAACATTTGTCCCCAGCTTCTCTAGGCATACTTTGCCTAAATTTGATGCAACTCCACAAAAATTGTATTACCCTTTAAACAAAGGACCTATGAAGTGCCAACATCAGCAAAACACATGGGCTTTGCTGTCAGAGAAAGTTGCTTTCTAATTGGTCAGTTAGCGTGACCTAAACTGGTTACCTAAGGCTCTTAAATCTTGTGAAAGTCAAATAAGATAGTTAAGTAAAATGCCTAGTACCTAGTCTGACATTTAGTAAAGAAATGGTAGCTGCTACTGTTATTATCCTTATTGTTTTGGTAGGTTTTAAAAGCCTGTATTTGGGCTGGGGTTGTGGCTCAGTGATAGAGCACCTGCCTAGCATGCATGAGACAGTGGGTTCGATCCTCAGCATCACATAAAAATAAATAAATAAAATAAAGGTATTGTGTCCATCTGCAAAATATAAATATATATATATRTGTGTGTGTGTGTGTGTGTGTGTGTGTGTATATGTATATATATGCCTTTATTTTAAATATAACATTTTGATCTGAATTGGGAAAAATCTGTGGCATTTTGCATAATGCTATAAAATCCTCATTTTTATTCTTTTAAATAGAAATTTATAATGTCTAATTTTGAAGTTCTAGAGATAAGGTATAGGTTATAGGCCAACTGAAAAAGTACTAGGAAGATTAATCATCTCTTTCCCTCTTGTGGCCCTGCATTTTAGTTTGCCAGTTTTAAATTAAAAAAAAATGTCTGCAAGGGCTTCAAGTATATACACTGTGATGCCTATGTTGCTGTAATGAGAGTATTTCATTCCAGGTAATCAGATGAGCAGCCGTCTGATGAGCATGCGCAGTGCCAATGGATTGTTGATGCTACCTCCAAAGACAGAGCAGTATGTGGAGCTCCACAAGGGCGAGGTGGTGGATGTCATGGTCATTGGACGGCTATGATGATCACCAGCAGGAGAAAGCTTTGATGCATGTCCACATATCATTGACTGTATCCTGTAATATGCATCGGCACAGCTAGTTTTCTGATTTGGATAAAAGTTGATCTGTATAATCAACATCTTGAACTATATTTCAAATGAATTTAAATACCTTTTAAAAGAAAAAAAAAACACCTAAGAATAAATCTTAACAGACAACTCTATTCTGATTATATCAAAGCAAATTTTTTCCTTTCTTGCAAATTGCTTTGTGTGTTCAATGCTAGGTCTGATAGCGATAGCTTTTAGTAGACAGCGGTAGGTGCCTGCAGAACTTGTGTTTTTCTCATCTTTAAAATACAACTACTTATACTCTTAAATCAAGGCTGTCTGCTTATTTATACTAGCTTAGACAACACTTGGATTTCCCTTCTTAGTATGCTTCATAACCGCTTTACAGAGAGCTTTTGCTTGTTCTTTATCATGTATCTCGTGTTTATGTGCACTGTGCCAAAAGAAGAGTAACTGGGTGGAGGCCCTGCCCTGCCTCAAGAACCATCCTCTGCAGAGCATCGGGGAAGATTCTTACCCTAGTAGCCTCGTGGCACAGTACTCTTGGGCAGTAACTGGATACCTTTTATTTGAACAAACAAACTGGGGGAGAAAATGCTTCCTTAAGTGCTGACAGCCTTTTTAACCAATACATTTAAAATTGTACAGAACAACAACAACAAAAAATCAAAGACTGATCTTGTACAGATATTAGTGTTACCAGCATTCACATGGAAATCAAGAGCAAAGACAAAATAATGTTAAACAACTCTGTACCATAACATTTTCTGTAATGATACTAAAACTTAATGAATAAAAAAAATCCTTGATCATTATTTAAAAATTTATTGTGTTGGCCTTTTTATTAAAAAAAGATTGATTGACATGCCATTCTGTTGGGGTTCTGCCTGTATAAAAGGAACAGTTAAGATGGCCTACCAAGGTTCAATGGCATGAGGGAAATTTAGAATGTGGATAATAAAACTCTGTATCTTACTACAGTGTTTGGAGAAAAAAAACATCATGATCTATAGCCTTGTGAAAATATAGATTAGAAAATAAAAGAACCTCCCATTAGTGTGGCCTTGCTGGTTATAGTTGGAGAACAGTATCTAAGCACTATAGAGGAAAGATACTTAATGATTTAGAGGGAGAAATCTTACTTTAGATGCCATAAAAGCAAATTTCAAATAGCTACTGTTCTTTAAAATGAAGGGAAATAATTAAGGAATGAACTAGAAAATTTCAGATAAGTACATGGAAATTTTTTTAATGAAGTAAGAAGTAGGGAAAATCTGTGTTGACCATAAAAAATATAACAAATAAAATAGACTCTATCCATAATGATTCCTTTAATAAAAACTTAGGGGTACTTTTCAAATCATGGTGACAGGGAGATGTATATGTTGTAGAGTAGGCATAGTAAAGCAAACTGTAAAGGCTGGCAAATGACTATAAAGGTGCCAGATGACAGTGACAAAGGCAAGTTGTAGACGACAATATTGGACACTAATACTCAATAATTCCAGAGTGGAAAACAAATTTTTCTAAGTTTTCTTTCTTTTTTACTTTTTCTTTTTGTGCTAGGGATCAAACGAGGGTGTCTAACTCATAAGCCTCCACTGATCTACCCCTCCAACCCCTTAAGTTTTCTCTTGTATGTACAATTGAGGAAAGATTAGTTAATAGAAGTCAAATGAAAGCACATGCAGAGTTCTTTACTTACATTCATTTACAAAATGTTTGTTAAGAATTTACTATGTGCTTGGGTATAAAGTACGCTAAGCTACTATTTATAGAAATGAATAGGACAGAGTAGCTAATATTGCACTCCATCAGGGGAGATAACAAAACATGTGCAAGTAACAATAATGTTGTATATATTTAATATTTGATAATATATGATAGAGTATGTAGAAAGTGGTGGTTGCTATAGCGGACTAGAAAGGATTGGAGGGGTTCAAATGATAACTTCTATAGGGTAAAATTTCAAGGTGTAAAATGACATTACAGTGGATCTTGAAGGAAGGGTAGAATTTTAAAAATGATGGTACAGGAAGAAGAATATTCTAAAAACAGAATTAAGGACCATAATAATTATTGTTTTATGATAAAAGTTAAATGCCACAAAGGCAAAGATTTTTGTTATTTTGTTCATTGATCTCCCAAATCCTTAGAAAAGTTCCTAGCATATGTAAATATATGTAAATACATTATATGGAGCTTACTATATGCCAGACACCATTGTAAGCACTTATTTCACAATACCCTGTAGTTCTTATTCCCATTTTACAGATGAGAAAACCAAGGCACCAAAAGATAAGAAACTTGACCATGGTTACATGGCTAGCTTTGGAAAGGACCAAGGATTCAAATTTTTAGCACTCTGGCTCCAGAGTCCATACTCTTGAACACTGGACTATAAAAACAGAAAGTTGATATATTTTAAGGCTGAAAAGGTACATAGTTAAGGCCCAAACTATAAAGTTCTTAAATATCAAGTTAAGGAGTCTAGATTTATTCTAGAGATGATAAAACTGTTAGAGATTCTTGATCAGGGAAGTGTCATGATCAGAGCTATCCTTTTAGGGGAAAGTCTTTGGCAGAATCTAGTAGGACAGATTAGGGTAGGGAGAAACTGAAATGAGAGAAACCAGTTAAGTGATCAAGTCAGACTCCGTGGCTTCTGGATGTCATTCTAGCTACTCTGGAGGCTGAGGCACACAGTAAGGAATCACAAGGCCAGCCTGGGCAACTTAGTGAGACCCTGTCTCAAAATAAGATTTCAAAAGGGGCTGAGGATTTGATCCTTGGCACTGCAAAAAAAGGAAGGAACCAGTAATTGAGGTTTTCAGATGAGGGGTAGAAGTGATGAGAATGGGAAGATTAGAGGAGAACTAATTCAAAGTCTTCAATCTTGACTGAGAAAAATGTAAAACTTAATTTTTTTAAAAAAGTCAGAAAATTGGATTTTATGGAGGAGCTGATAAGTTTGGGCATGTGTTTAAGATGCCAAAGGAGTACTGAGTGACCATGTCCTGTTGGCATTTGAAAGTTCAGGTTAGGAGTTCATAAATAAATGATCCATAGGCGGATGAAAGGATTGTCAAGGAAAGCTTTGTAAAGAGAAGAGAAGAGATCTTGGGGTTAGAGGGAAAATGGAATGAAGGGGAAAGCAGTTTGCAGAAGAAAAGAAATGGAAGTGCAGCATTCCACAAGCCAAGGAGAAGAGTCTCAAAAAGGAAGAAGACTCAACTGTCAAATGCAAAAGAAGTAAGAAGGATGAAGCCTAAAAAGGATTTATTGATTATGCAATCATTTGTGAGCTCTAAGAGTAAGAATTTCAATAGCGGTTTGAAAGCAAAAGATTATAAAATGGAACTGTGAATATGAATTCTTTGGAAATTGTGTATGAGAATAAAATTTGAAAAAGGAAAGACACAAAATTATAACTTGAACTGAAAACAAGGTGGAAAGAAGATTTTTGTTTGTATCTTTTGAAAAAAGGAGAAACAACAGCAAAAGAATAAAGTGCTGGATTTAAGGATTCTGGTAGCCCAATTAACCTGAGGAAGAAAAAGGAAATTTTTCCTTCTGAGTTGGAAAACATATGAACATATTTGAAGTGAACACAAAAGAAATTTAAACCCTGAAGATCAACAGAATGGCTTTACTTGGCAAGGTGAACATTAATTTCATGCACTTTCTTCACATTTATTTGACCAAAAATTTTTAAGAATTAAGCATATATGAAATAACAACAAGTCTTCTTTGTCTTAGTAATTCATACTTAAAGACTACAGAAGATGTTCTCAGATTCTTACATATAGCTATACAGAAGTTAACTAGTTTTATTGGTTCTGTTTTGGTTGTTTTAATGCATACCACACAATAAAAAAAGAACACAAACAGACTAAGTTTACCAAGTAAATGTTATTAAGTGATGTTACATGTTACAGCAAGTAGGATGACTTTCATTTTTTAAATTATTTGCTAACCAACAAAATTCTGTAGATCTGATTACCCCTCTTGATGTTTATGAAACCCTAACAAGGTAAGTCATTATCGTTCCTAGGTAAAGAAAGTTGGGTTTATGTAAGTAAAGATTCAAAGCAAATAAATTGTGTGTTGTTATTGTAATGATGATGGGTATAGATTAAATAATGTTTGTAAGTATTATGCTTGACTCTCAAGAGATTTACATTGTTACATAGCTAATTAATAACTTGGCTTAAGACCAAAAAGATTAGAAAGTGCTCTCTTGTAGACTTTTTTTTTTGGTATGGAGAATTTCTCACGTGGTCCTTTGTAATATTTCAATTTATGTAACAAGTATTAACTAAGTTCCTATAGTATTCTGGTTTCCATGATAGGCACTGAGGATATAATGATAAATAGCACAAAGTTTTTGATATTCAAGTGGAGAATATAGATTACAGGAAAGGAAAAGATATTCTAAATATAGACTAAGAAATGTCTCTGAAGAAAATACTATTATGTGTTAGAGAATGACTGGGTGAAGGCCTAAATCAGGTTCAGTAGTTATGTTAGGGCCCAGACATTTTATGAAAGGCAAAAATTGCACACTAAGTATTTCAAAACAAAGCTTTAAATATAGGAATAAATTAAATAGATGTTGGAGGTCTAGAAAAGCATAAAGAAAATACAGAGATATCAGACAATAACAACAGGAAGTACCTACAATGAACTGGGCAATTAGAAGGGAGAGAGAGGTTAAAGTGATCAGATCTAAACCCTCAGAGGTCAGACACTTTGGAGCTAAGGTTAAGGGGAGGGCACTGCCAGATGCTGAGTTCAAAGAGGGGAAGCAAATGCAAGCTAGAACAAGTTGCTGTTGCCAGGGTGACGTTGACAGAATAGGAAGGAGCAGTCCCTTCTCCCCTCCCACTGCTTTCCAAGCTCTCTCTAACCTAGTACAACCCAGTGTTGAACCTAACAAAGTCAGGTGGAGAGAGAAATGCAGTTTGCCAAGTTCCAGCCACAGTACACATGGCAATCGAGCTGAGAGATCATCACTTATCAAATGACTGAGGAATTCTCCAAATAGGTGACATTTGAGCTGGGTTCTAATATATGAAAATAAGCCCCATATGTGAAAAGTTGAGAAAAGAGCATTTCAGAGGAAAGGGCTTAAAGAATATAACATCAGGATGGAGACAGAAGTATGATGAGGAAGGAGAAAGTGGTCTGAAATACAACTGGAGAAAACTGAAGCCAGGACAGAGTCAGATCATGCTCGCCAGAGTATAGTATTGTGGGTGTAGCATTAAATAGACACCCACAACTTATGATGTGTGTCACATAATCTAAGAGCACTGGGAAGCCACTAGAATTTAAGAAAGAAAGAAAGAAAGAAGGCAGTTATTTACTAAACACCAATTGGATGCAAGGTGCCATGTTAAACAAGGTTCCTGGACAAGTAACTCATTCCCTCTGCCTCCCAGACCTGTTTCTCTGCCTAGATTTTGTTTCCTAGTTAATAGCACCATCATTCACTCAGTTTCTGAAATGAGAAATTTCTGAGTCATCTTACTTCTCACTCCCCACATCCATTGAGTCACCAAATTCTGACTCTACTAACAGTTCCTAAATTATCTCCCTCTTTTCCATTCCTTCTGCCACTACTTTGGACTCTGTGCCTCGCCAGAATTGCTTTCCCAAAATCTATCCCTTTCACTGCTATCAGAGTGATCAATTCAGAAAATAAATCTCCCCATGGAAACCTCTTTAGTAGAAAACCTCTGCAGAGATGAGGTTCCAGTGCCCAGTTATGACATTCAAAGCCTTTACAGTCTACTCCCT